TAAGGCAGTTCTGATGGAGAAAGGGGGTCAAACACCGTATTAGTATGGTGTTCCTAATAATCCTTTAGGTGAGTGTATAAAGGAATCGGGAGGAACGGAGAGAATACTGACTGTAAAGCTTGCAGCCAATGACAAGTCATGGATGCTGCGCTGCTCTCCTGACAGTTACTCTGTCCATCACAATAATAAACAGACTGACATACCCATAAAGCCCTCAGGCTCCCACAGAGTAGGAGTGTATCTGGACTGGGCAGCTGGTACTCTGTCCTTCTACAGAGTCTCCTCTGATGGACTGACCCTCCTGTACAGCTTCACCTCCTCATTCACTGCACCCCTCTATCCAGGGTTTTGGGTTAATAAATACTCCTCTGTGTCCCTGTGCATGCTGGGATAGCTCACTCTGTGCTGGAGGAATCATTTTTACTTCTCAGAGCGTCACATGTTGCTGCTTCTTCATGGCACAAAGGTAAAATATCTGCTTTTTAACCAGTATAACCCTTTTCACTCTGTCTTAAGTGTGACATATGTTAGACAGAAATAAGTGACTGGGTTTTGCAAGTTGAACAAACATGGAAAATGAATTTTTCTCTCTGGTAAAATATAATGAAATGTAATCCTGATTGGGAGGGGGGGCTTTCCCCCTCCCCTGTGTATGTACATTAAATATATATTTCTGTCTGTATATTGTATTTGCTACCTGTACAATGGCACTAAAGGCTTCCTATTAATCCTAGTTAAAACATTTTATTTAATATATAACATAATTAAACAGCACTCCCTGGTAAATTAACTTTACTACTATAACTACCCATAACACAATTACACTAAATTAACATACTGTAATAACTGGCAGACCGATGAATGACGCCCTTTTATTACAGCTCCTTAAAATTACTAACAGGAGCAGCGAACAAACTGTATAACGGGGAAACAGACGCCGAACGGTGAGGCGCAACCGGCGGGTCATTTACACAATAACTAGGGACACGCCAGGATCGCACAGGGTTCACGTAAGACACGGACATTGTCGTATATAATAACCGCTTAACAGGAGACGGAACTGCAAAAGCAAAGGAAAAAAACATTAGTAACACAAATTACACTGAATGACCAAAATACAACAAGCAGGTTTCCTAACCGTGAACTGCCTTACCTGAAAATCGACATGTTGACTAACATACGGCCACCGACTCTCACCCGTATTAAAACACGGTTAAATCATAATTAAAATAAAAAAACTTAACTCATTACTGCATAAATTAATGGCGAAATAAATAATTCAATTTAAAAATCGAAACGTAACACATTTTTACTTAAACAATCGGGAATAAATAAGAAAAAATAAGAAGAAACGGTCAAATTAAATAGTTTTATTTCAAGCAAAGTAGAAGCAGGTAAGTGATTGGTCCGTGGCAACACCGTTTGCACATGCGCAGCTCATTCACATCTATGTCAGCTGCCGTGCGGTCACGGGAATATGCTGCTCCTTTCAGCTGGAGCTAGCGCTCACTGATCAGAGCAGACACAGGGAGATGAGTACCTGTACCGCTTACAGGACAGTACTGGCGACATTTGGAAAGTTGCTAAGGTTTGTCCAAAAGTCGCTAGATTTGTCGCTAGGCGCTTTTTTGAAAAAAAGTCGTCAAGGGGGTCTGAAAAGTCGCTAAATCTAGCGACAAAGTCGCTAAGTTGGCAACACTGGTTTCCCGTCAGTCGCAGGATGTGAGACGCTGTGTTCCTTCAATTAACGTCCCCACATGTACAGTCATTTAACGTACAATGTCGTGTCGTGTAATAAAAATTACTCTAAAATAAAAGTGCTGCAACTGAAATTTGGTGAAGTTAACAAAATGTATACGAAAATATTTAAGTACAATGAGAATGGACATAGTTGACGAAATGATTCGCTATTCTGACTGTCTTTTTATTATTTATTTTATTATCATTTAAGTCTGGCTGAAAAGACTAAAGTGAATAGTTTTCTGATTTCACAGCGTGTTTTATTATCAGTGATACACTGCATGTGAAAAAATGTATATATTCTCTTTATTGGGGAATCCTGATTTACTTTTAGTTTTAGTTTTTTTATTCCACACGATTTAAGAATAAGATAACCAACTATAATATGTCCCACAATACACTCACAGTGGCATTACAGCAATACAGATATATCACTGAACACAGTGGAAAGGTGTATTCTTACTCTGACGTCCCTCCCCGTCCTCTAGTGACGAGCTCCACATTCTGTGCTGCTGCCTCTGCTGGCCGCTTGTTTGTTTCTCTCCCCCCTGTCTAATTTAGATGTGATGCACCCGTTCCCCTGGGGGGGGGGTCTATAAGGTGGGTTCCCGGCTAAGGGGGGAGTAATCGATCCTGTGGCAGTCACCACGCCGGCTTTGGCTCTGCATCAGTGTTTCATTGTCTTTTCTGTTTTGTTCTCTACTGTTTGTGCTCTTTGTTAATAAATTACCCCAGACAATACAATTTTGCTGTGTCTGGCTGTAGCTGGACCACAACACTTACAGAGACCAAAATGCATGTGCATGCATGATATTTTACAGCCTTTATGCCAGGGGTGGGGAGCCTGATCCATATGGGGCCACTGTGGGTGCAGGTTTTTGGGATGGCCTCTCAATCAGCCAATAGCAGTGGGTCCCCAGGACTGGAGTTGAGAACCACAGTTTATTATTGGCTGACTGAGAGGTGTCATCCCAAACACCCGCACCCACAGCGGCCCTCCATGGATCAGGCTCCCCACCTCTGCTTTATACACAAACATTTCTCTCCCATCTGTGACACACTTACAGACAGTGACATACATGCATACAGGAATATTTATCCTTCTGGGAACACAAACACAGACATTTACTGTCTTCAAAAGCGCACAAATGACCTCAGTTCTGTCCTGTTACTGTGACATAGATTTATGTTCAGTGAGGAACACAAACACACACTTCTGTTCCTTCACAGACACGTACAGAAACACAGCAACCCACTTAGAGCACACACACACACACACACACAGGTTTCTAATTATATCTTTGTGGGGACTCTCCATTCATTTCTATGGGGAAAACGCTAATCCCAATATGACAACCTTAACCCCTACCCAGCCCTAACCTTAACCATAAGTACCAAACAAAATACGAGGCTTTCGGACTTTTTAGTTTTTTGATTGCATTCACAGATCTTTGTGGGGACCTGAAAAATGGTCCCCACGATGTCAAAATAACAGGTTTTTATCACATTGTGTGGACATTTGGTCCCTGCAATGTAACATAAACATAATACACACACACACACATACAGAGGCCCTGGTTAAAGGTCTCTCACACACATAGCCCCCGGTTAAAGCTCACACACACACATGGGGGGTGTTACCTACCTCCTACCTATCCATAGGTGTCTCTGAGTTTAGAGATTGGGAGTGTAAAGGATGCCCCGCCTTCCCCCTGTCACTTGGCATCACTACACACCACAGCAGTTCTTTAGAGTGATAGTTTTCCTACCTGGGTTCTATTAAACCAGCATCAGGGTGATACTGATGAAACTTCTAAGCACTTATGTAAGTCGCTCTGCCTCAGGGCGTCTGCCAAATAATGTGGACTGGGGTTGTCATGGGAACCCATATGCCACCTGAACAGGTACACAGTGCCCCTGCTGGACATACTTGCCCAGTCACACACTCACACAGCTACTTTCTGTAAAAGCTTTCTGTTAAGTTTGAGTTTTGGACTGACTGGGTGACACATGCTTCAGTTATTTCAGCCTGATGTGGATGATTATATGGAGGTGGAGGGGGGTGAAAAATTGAGTAGTGCATTTTCCATTAATGCCTCTTTAATACCACTGACCCCCCCCAGACATCAATCATTCTATGCTTGACAGTAACTGGCAGCTGTGTACATTATGTAGCCCCACTAATGAGGACCAATCAGAAGCCGGCGTGTCCCCCACACCACTACAGCAGCCGGAAATAGTCATGGGGGGCTGGGGGGCTACGGGACTTTCTGAAAGTACCCAAATGGCAAAAGCAGCCACACGTCAAGAAAATCCACTCTACTGATTTCATAATTAATATGTGAACAGACCCCTAAATCAGCAGCCCATGACTGTACTGATATTAGATGTTTGGTGTTAAGATTCATTAACAAAACAGCTGTCAACTTGTTTAATTAAAACATCCAATGTACTTAATTAATTACTTCTGAAACAGCTTTTTAATGGGATTAATATGAAGATTTTGTCTCTCTGCAGTTTGTACAGCAGAACCGATTATATAATTGCTGGCACTGAATTGTGTGTGACCTGCGATGGTCTGGCATCCCATCCAGGGTGAGCCGTGCCTTCTACCCTGTGTTGCCTGGGACAGATTCCATTTTCCAGGTCCCCACAAAGATCTGAGAAGGCTATCAAAAAAGTAATAATCCCAAAAGTCTAGTATCTTTATTTGCTTACTTAAGGTTAGGGCTGGGTAGGGGTTAAGGTTGTCATTTTGGCACACACACACACACACACACACAAACACCATGTGGATAAAAGTATTGGAAGAATGGGTTGTTCTGAAGAACTAAAAGAATTCAAACATGGTACTGGTACTGTCATAGGATGCCACCTTTGCAGTTCTGAATTTCTTCCCTGCTAGCTATTCCACAGTCAACTGTAAGTGGTATAATTGATAGGAGAACGTTACCTGCCTTACAGCATTGTGCCAACTATAAAGTTTGGTGAAGGAGGGATAATGGTGTGGGGTTGTTTTTCAGGGAATGGGCTGGGACCCTTAGTTCCAGTGAAGGGAACTCATAATTCTTCAGCATACCAAGACATTTTAGACAATTCTATGCTTCCAACTTTGTGGGAACAAGGGAAGGCCCTTTTCTGTGCCAACAAGACTGTGCCCCAGTACACAAAGCAAGGTCCATAAGGACATGGTTGGGTTAGTTTGGCATGGAAGAATTTGACTGGCCAACACAGAGCCCTGATCTCAACCCCATCAAACACCTTTGGGATGAACTACCACAGAGATTGCGAGTCAGGCATTCACGTTCATCATCAGTGCCTAATCTCACAAATACTCTTCTGGATGAATGTGCAAAAGTATCCACAGACAGACTCCAAAATCTAAACAGAGGGCTTAATGGTGTATTGATCTGGGTCCTCTTTCCCACAATCCCCCGCAGACCTGCGTACTTTACCGTATACATACTTTACATCCGTTGTGCAGCAGTGGGAGGGACACTTATCCTTGACCCCAACTCTAACTACAGCTGATAGGATTCAGGTCAAGTGCCCCACTCTGGGGGACCTTTTCATTCTCCCTCTTAATCACTCTTCTGATTCTGCTAGGAGAGA